TCCCATGGTGAAAGAAAAGCTACGGTAAATTGGAGAGGGCTTTCGAATTGCGGTATGAATGTGACCAGGAACACCTGGCGGTGGTGATGGTAAGTGTGGTGATCGTAGTGGTAGTGGTAGTGGTGATACTAGTGGTGGTAATAGTGGTGGTGTTATTAGTGATGGTGTTAGTATTGGTGATTGTAGTAGTAGAGGTGGTAGTAGCGGTAGTAGTGGTAATGGTAGTAGTGATGGTGATAGTAAATGTGGTGATCGTAGTGGTAGTGGTGATAGTAGTGGTGGTAATTGCGGTGGGGGTTATGGTAGTGGCGGTTGTAGTAGTAATGGTGGTTGTGGTAGCAGTAGTGGTGGTGGTAATAGTAGCAGCAGTAGTATTAGTGGTGGTATGAGTAGTGCTCAACATCTTTTGGTTCTATTTTTGAATAATGGCACTTCCAAAACATCTGAGGGTTCAACAGATTGGTAATTAAACTGCGAAATGAACGCAAAGGTAGAAAACAAAGGTAAAATATGATGTCATCAGACACATCAAGATTGATGTTTATCGTGGAGTACAAACCTCCATGAGTCCAGGTATCTATTGTGTGTAATAAAAACTATTAGAGGAAAATGGTTGACAATTTGTTATCATTACATAAACATTAACTTGAAGTCTCGTAACCCGGATAAACACTATTTAGTGATGTTTTTTCGGAGATCGATGTAAAGTTAATTACAAGGAGAGTTATTCGAATTTGTTGGAAATTTTTGAGCAGATCAAGCTTAGAAAAACTTTTAAGATTTTTCGCCCCTCTTGGAATTTGATTAAGTCATTTTCCGAGTTGTTTGCAGTGAATCGCTTTTCATAATGAGCTATGTCGTCGTTAGAGACTTAGAGATTTTAAGGGATTGAAGTCTGTATTCTAATTATGCTAGTGAAGGTGAATATCAAGTTTATAGCGGTATAGGACAGGACAAAACTGTGTATTTGGATTAGGAAAACATCACAAAAACTTCAGATAATGAAAGAAAATGGTAGAGTATCCCAAAGATTGGGGATGCAATACCTAATTCTAATCAAATGAGAGTTTTAAATCGCGCCATCATACGGCGACGTGAAAAAGATCACGTTACCTAAAATCACATGAGTTAAAAAGAGGTTCACAACATGTCATGTAAACCAACATCTGTCATTAACGTACCCACCAACAAGCGCTGATTGGTTCTTTTGCATGGGATTTCAAGTTTCCCACTCTGTTGCTTTAGGGTAGCTGGGAAAACCTTTTGTTCTCCTGGCGCACCCAACGCCCCATTAAACAAAATTACCCTGAGGTAATTCACCTCGGTAAAACTCGGTCTCATCCCAGTTGCCTTGTGCCAAATTTCTACACTTTACTGCGAATTCTTTTGATGCTTTGTCTGCTTTAGTAATGGCCTTTTTATTTGATAAATTCCAAGCAAAGGGTCCCCCAACAACCTGGCCTACCATTTTTTATTCTTCCGTTCGTCTCTAAAACAATATTTTGAAGGTTAAATGTTTGTTACAAGAAATAACTGTCTTGCGTATTACCGCAAACCGACCTAATACAAAAGATAACCGAATACAATCTTTATAAATGTAATAGTCCTGTAAAGCTGTACAAAAAATTTGTAAATGAATAAAAAAAAACCTCTAAAAATCTAAAATGAACTGAGGTAAAAATATTTTACAGTTTCCAATAAGGAATTATGGATCTGAATAACACCGGCGATGTGTGATTTATTTGCGAAACGCGCCCGCTAATTTTGTCATAATTTTTTGTCATTGGGCATAACCCAAACGCTCAAAAGCAACTTTCGGGTATATTAAAAATAAAACTCTATCATGTAAGCTGAAAAATAAAATGAAAGAGTGGGAAAACATACAGTAAGTGGCTGCAATCACTACCTTTATTTGACGTAAACATGTAAGCTGTAAGTATCATCAAAAACACTTGCAACTGATCATTGTTACCTCTGATAGCACTAATTCTGTAGAGGAAAAGGCTACTTTCCCGCCTTTGTTTCAAGAATATGTTCTTCTGACTCATTAAAAGCGACGCCAGCATTTAATTCGTAATAGAAGGAAGCTTAAATCCTTCCCACCCCTCCCCATAATTTGCACCCACCACGAGTCGTTGACTTGCAAATGTAAAATAGTAGAATTAACGAGTCTGTAAAACGTTACACAAAAACGCGAGGTTGTAAGATTAATAACTTCATGTGAAACAAATTAAGAGCGTTTTAGGGGTAAAAGTATCCGTAGATTAAACGGAACATGTCAAATTCAAAGGTAGCAATGGGAGCATCTGTTTGTATCTGACTAACATCTAGCAGCATGAACTTTATCGATGCATCAGTCAGACCCTCGACATTGATCAGCAAACTTTTGATGAAATGAAAATTTAAGTTAAGAACATTTACGTTTTCTACCTGGCTGTCTCCGGTGTTTCTGTTGTGACGTACTTTTGCCACAAGAGTATGATGCATTTCGATCAGGCATTGGGCCTCTCGATTGTCTCTAAGCACAGCGATTACCTGCCTTACAAATTTGCCTGAGTGTCCTCCTTTGTTGCTTGATCTCCAAACTAAGCAGGCTGACATTGTGTCATTTCTGTTTTCACTACCGATCTTACAAGCTTATTTCGCCTCAAGAATTAAATTAATGAAAAACTGCTGTCGATTTGCACTGCTTATTTTGTTTCAATTCGCATTTCTAGGAAAGACCGGAAATAAGTCATTTAACATCATGTGATATCATAATTTTATGCCGAAGCGCTTCTGAGTAATACCAGGTAAGTTTGATGGAAGGAAGAGGTGATTTTCGCAAAAAATAAAGGGTTTCGGGAGCTAGGTTTTAGTTGTGCTTTATTATTCTATATTCTCCAGTTTATTCGTTTATTTCGATGAATTTATACATTCTGATATGAACGCAACGATATTTAATCAACATACATATAAATCCGACTACAGAAGACTCCTTTTTTTTTGACCCTTGCGGTCGAATACACCACACCAATTGCATTAGGGCCTATATCTGGAGCAGGTGTTAAGCTAAAGACTTATAGTGAAATAACAAATTAAAAGAAAAAAAATCGAGCTATGTCGTTTCGCTTACACATCATATGAAAAAACACTGGTTGTTTTGCAATCCTTTATGAGAGGCAAATCATACGACGATCAAAATTATTTGACTCGGCTAAGGGTTCGTGATGATAGTGTAAGAAATGTGTCGTTTGGTTGACAAAAAATTATCTCCGACTAATTGTTTTGCTATCATTACAGATTAGTGTTTTACACCAATATCGCTTGTAAAATGCTACCGTTATTTTTTATTTGGATATTAGTATGCTTTCATATGGTAATTCCATCAACTTCAATATCTCGTTTTAAAATTAAATTAATATTCAGATCATCCTTTTATGATCACCATTAATCTGAGGTGGTACAGTCTTATTTTTATCGCTTGCCGATACTGAATTGTATATTGGATCTTTTGCATATACTAAAGACTGTGTTCTGAATGTGATACTTTCGATGATAATTTGATTTCGGATTATCTTGTGTCGATTCTCATGAATATCTATAACCTCATTTGCTATTTTCTATCGATCAACCTGGCCATAATTGACACATAAAATTTCTCCATTATATTCTCAAATTCCTCATGAATTTCTAAATTACAATTCATTATTCTAAGACTATTTTATGAGACTTTTTTTTTTTGCTATTGTTTTAATAAAGCTTATCGTACTCTTATTTACTTGAAAATGACTGCAACTGACCCGGAGTTTTCATGCTGTGGGATAATTTCTGTTTCCAATACATTTGCAAATGGTTTTAATTTTTCCCATTTGGTTTGACGATAACGCACGCAATGATCAAGTAACCGAGCTATCTTTACTTAAAAAATTCATGTTTTTTATGAACACAAAAATTCTAAACCTTCAGAATAAAAAACGGACGCCTGTGTGTCAGTAAAGAGCTACTTCTTTGCGAAATCTTGAATAACAACATAATGGCTCCCACTGCTTATTGATTAAAGAGACTTTTCTTACACTATCTTTTTGCGAAAGTAGATAATGAGCGAGCAGACAGAAAAATCCTGTACATGATTACTTCCGGAACAGTGCGACCGGAACCGGAAACAGTTTAAAATTTCCGACAAAAGGAATTCTAGGAAAAAGGGGAAATGAAAAATTTATGGTAAAGCACATAAGCATTTTCTTTAGTGTGAACGACGCGCACTATCCAACATAAAGATTCTTCATCATTTAAGGAACTATTGGATTGAAAGCGGCATGAGTGGTACGTATCAAAATCCTTATTTAAGTTATAAAAGTACAGACATTTACTATTCGAGCGAAACGAATTTCATAAATCATGCAACAGAAAGCGTTACTACAGGTTAACAAGTGAACACTTCTTAGATTTACAACTGGGTCCAACTCTTCAAAGCATTCGATTATTGTAAGTTGTTCCTATTTCGTTACAAATATGTATCAATTATTGCTTACAAGAATCATCGAAAAAGACGTAAAAGATACAGGAGTTTGAAATGAGGATAGGATAAACATATTAGCCCGGAAATTAATTACTTTCGGTTTCTGCAATCGAACGCATCGACTGTTGATGTAAGATCATACAAACTGGCCTGTTCACCTTCGAACTTAAACATGCCACTATGTAAAAGAATTGATACACGGACTGAGAAGTAAGTAAAATTCGTCAAGAGGGATTTTGTTATCATCAAACAAGCGCGAAACTATGATCTTCCTCAACGTACGAGTAAATGAACTAAACAAAGAATTACAAGAGGAAGGAGTTTGGTCAGTTTGGAGAGCATTATTACCAGACCAGTGAAGAAGCCTGGAAACCTTCTCTGTTAATCAACAGATTTTTCAAAATAAATACTATAATACACAGTTTTTTTCCTTAAGAAAGAAAATGCATGTCTTTATTCTTCGGCATGATGTAATTATTGACATTAATTTTTCTCGTAGATGTTCTTGTATCATTTTTTCGAATTATTTGAGCACCTACACCCGTCATTTTCGCTGTATAGAGGCGAGATCCAGCTGTTTTACTCTCAGCCTACCTTTCAACCTAAATAAAGCCACTTATCAATTAGGGTCATGTATGCCGTTCGTGTTTTCCGGTGGTAATATTCGCTTTTCCTAAGCTCATCTTTGCTCTTCAGCGTCTGAAGGTTTGTTGTTCTCTACAAGTTCATCCTACATAGCCGTGGTTGCTATTGATTTTGGGACCACATACAGTGGTTTTGCTTTTTGCTTTCAACCACAAGAAGGGAGAAGGAGGCATCCATATGAACAGAGCCTGGGGTCATGACCAGGGAACTGCTACTCTTAAAACACCCACCTCTCTGCTTCTTCATCCTGATGGTAGCTTTGATTCATTTGGATACGAAGCGGAAGAAAAGTACGCCAACTTCCTTGATGGTGAAGATCGAGATTATCTTTACTTCAAACATTTCAAAATGGCACTACACAAGTCAGAGGTACAGTTCATTCATTTCTTTTCTTCCTTCCTTTTGCCACGCCTGAAGCGAAACTGCCATAGACGGACTGTCTATCACTAACTGTAACCTTGAAATCAATTCGAAACACCTATAAAACTTATTCACGAAAAATAATCATAGGAGGAGGTAAAAGATTAAATTACTGCTGATTGTCTCGACAAACACCGTAAAAGTAACAAGCACGGGAATATGCGGTTGTCGAAGAGGAGCCCGAGCGATCAAATCGGAGAGAAAGAATTGAATGCAATAAATGCAATGAAAACAATAAACACTTCATTGCAAAATGATCATAACAAACCAAGGCAACAGTGTTCATGATTTCATTTGATCTGTAATCTTTAGGTAACATCTCCATCTGAGTTTGATCAGTAAAAACAGAGACTGAGGGTCTCTCAGGGTCCTAAATACTAAGCTAAATAGTGCGCATCGTTTCGGGTTTTGTATAAGTTCTCCACTGAAGTTAATTCGCATCAAAAGTATCAGACAAAATCTTTGTCAAATTTATCTTCTCCAATTACAGACATTAGACAGAAATACAAAGCTGACGGCTCGAAATGGAAAAAAAATTGATGCTTTGGTTGTTTTTGCCCACTCATTGAGGTATCTCAAAGATCGAGCTATCGAAATTATTCGCGAGAGAACTGGAGACGAAAAGTATAATGAAAAGGACATTCGGTGGGTCATGACAGTGCCTGCCATTTGGAGACCCGCTGCTAAGCAATTTATGAGAGAAGCCGCTTGCAAGGTAATTACAGAGAAGTTACATAAGTTTGCTTTTCCCTCTCTACGATGAGTGAAGAGGTGAAAATGAAACAAGGAAAGGAAAATACAGGACGAGCTAGAATACAGGTCACTCTGATGCTGTCAGTTACTAACATGGTCACAAATTCTACTATTATCACAAATGTAGGAAGTTTTGTTTTTTTTTTTCTCCTTGGAAGTGTTCGTAAAAAGCGAGAAACTTAAGTTTGAGATTAGTCAGTGTTGTCTTAACGAAACTTTTTTGTCCTCAATTACTTCCTTTTTTTGCTTCTACTTTGGAAGGCGGAGATGGTATCGAATAATGCCCCTGAACAGCTGCTTATTGCCTTGGAACCAGAAGCAGCCTCTATACACTGCAGAGAAATGAAGATGAGAGAATTCGCTAATGAGAAAGGGGATGCCACTGTATCTGACGTCTTTGCTCGACCTGGGTCAAAATACCTTGTTATTGATATCGGAGGTATGATTGAACTTTCAGAAAAATGGGCCGTTTTGACGATGTCATACTACAAAATATCAAAACCTTCTCTTATTTTTTAAAAACAGTAGTGTCTTCTTGAAATCATTTAAAAGCTTCCATTTGTTTGTAAAGACACAGGGTTTTTTAGCAACGTGTGGCAAACTTGTAATGGTAATTGAACTGAGTGGAGTGGTGGGATATCGTCGTAACTCATTTGATACTGACCAAAGTGTATTGGCTTATAGCTTGTGGTGATAACCTTCTTTCTCAAACCGAATCAAATGAAAACGACGCTGAAATTTTAAATACACTTGAAAAATTCCTTGGTTAAAAACGGATCAGTCTATGGTCAATAATCTAAAATGCTGATGAATTCGCAAGTAGGCAACAACATTAATGACACTAGGTCTTTAAAATCAAAAATAGAAAAAAAAATTAAACGGCCACGGACAGCTGATTTAGCTTTAGTGGGCTTCATCAGCCCCAAGCATTATCAGCACAAAATATACTAAATGTGATCGATCGTTCTCGTAATGCGTTTTATGTTGGACTCGCGCAATATGAATGTATGGGCTGAAGCTGTAAATTAACTAGTGTTACATTTGTTACTCTAATAAAGGCGGAACTCTCGACGTCACAGCTCATGAAATCTTAACAAATGGGAACATTAAAGAAATCCACCAGGTGACCGGAGGACCTTATGGTGGAACTAAAGTTGACGAGGAGTTCGTTTCCCTACTTGAGAGGTTTTTCGGAACTTATCAGGTGAAAAACTTCCGTGAAAACCACCCAGCAGAATGGCTGGAGATAATGAATGAATTTGAGATGAAGAAGCGAGGGCGCCGTGCTCATGAGGGTGAAACAACCAGAATTCGCCTTCCCCGAACCTTTACAGCACTGGTTTCAGAGCAAGGTGGGCCTGATCTGGCAAGTCGATTTGCAAGTTCCTGTAGAACTGACGATGTCCAATTCGTCAGAAATGAATACTTCTGCATAGGACCGGCGGCCATGAAAAAATTGTTTGAACCGGTTCTGAATGGAATAGTGAAGCACTTGAACAACGTTCTTAAGCATCGTGCGCTCCGTAGGCTACAATTTTTCTTCCTTGTTGGAGGTTTCGCCGAGTCAGCGATACTTCAGGATGTAATAAAGAAGAACTTTCACCGGAGGTAAGGCAAATTTGACGTAAACGTTTGAACGGGATGCATTGGAGATTGGGATACTATCTGAGGAGAATCTTAACCTAGGTCGGATTATCCGAACCAAACGCACTGACATGTTTTTCGAGTCTTTCAGCGCAAAGGGTCGTGGTCAAAGTACTTAATTGCAAGCTATCCTAAAATTCATCAAATCAAAGAGTACTTTGCAACCAGGAGAGATACGTGGCATGGCTGAAAGCAATTGACTTCTCGTGTAAAACATGACACGTAAAAAGACTGTCATCTTTGATTTTTTTTCTCTATTCACAGATGCAAAATTTTCGTTCCAAGCAACGCTAGCATTGCAGTTGTTCAAGGTGCTGTGATGTTTGGCCAAAGACCTGACATTGTCGACTCCAGAATCATGTCTACGACTTATGGCTTCAAGATTAACCGCCCGTTTGATCCCAGTCTTCATCCAATTAACAAGAAGCACTTCGTTGACGGCGTAGCCTACTGTAAAGATTGCTTTGAGGTTCTTGTTAAAGAGAATGACATTGTGAGGACAGGTGAAAAGAAAGTCTTCGCTCATTACCGCCTACTGAAAGGAAGTCAAACAGCTGCAAGGTTCAGTTTTTTCACCTCGACCGATCCTGACGCCAAATATTCAACAGACGCTTCAGTTAGCAACCCGATAGGAGAGGCTGTCGTCGAATCGCCTGACGTTGCGAAAGGAACCAAGCGAATGATTGACTTGGCCATAGAGTTTGGTGGGACTGAGATTAAAGCTACTGCAATAGACAGAAGCAGTGGGAACACTGCCACGGTTTATCTCGACTTCCTGTGCAATAAGGATTAAAAACCAAAAATCGCCGGAGAAGACTTGAAGTCCCCGTGTGAATATATGACAAACCTGACAACGTTTAAGAGACACCACATTTGTTATCACTGGATCAAGTAGACACCTTGTATGGGTGTCCATTGTGAATAAATCCCCGTCGCAACTAAACCTGACATTTTGAGGCGTCTTTGAACTTCATTACATAATTGAAACGCCAGATTGCTAGAAATCTTATAATACTTAGACCCAGTGGAGTGTCAAGATATCCACTGAATTGCAAATTCTTGATTTCTTAGAAAGGAGTGAGACTACAAACTCGAACAAAACTGCATTTAAGTTCAGTTTTGACTACGCCAGTCGGTTAAAAATTGGCATTACCACTGCATGCGACTTTTTTTTTCGTAGGCTCTTGTCAACGGAGTTTGATCTTGAAATAAGTGGATAATTTTCCGACTAATTTTAAAAAATCAAGGGCTAGCGTCTTAGAGAGCTAAACAGTCGCTTTGGTAACCTATTATGAAAAAGATACCTATACACACTAAAACTATAGCCTAGGGGCGCTCGCGAAAAGTCTAAATTAGCCAGCCAAACCGATGTATTTATTCAGATAATACTGTAAAAAACTAATTTACTAAACCGCTCCAGCCATGATGAACTTGTTTAAAATTGCCGGATATTTACAGAAAAATGACAAAAGAATAAAATTCATGCACAGCTCATATTCCTGCCGTTTTCAAATCGGTAGAACTGTGTTCAGTCCACTATTTACGTTGTTCTTATTTGCTATACAGTCACATAGAATAACTTGACTTTTATTCAATAAGTTTTTGTTCCTATCCACCTACGAGTTTTACAGAATTAGTCTCAAAAGTAAAATCGAAATGGCAAAGAGAAATCCTTCCAAAAATCAACAAATCAAATTTTTTTTTTTTTTAATTTAATTTACTATCTTTCTTATTCTAGTAAGAGTGAATGTCACTCCAGTTAAACTTGTACTGAGACATTTCTTCCATTCTAAGCTGAGGCACAATTATGCCGGTAGACATAGCTTGTCACACATAGGAGAGCCAACGGAGCTACGCCCTGTCAAAACGACATCCCCTTTGGCAATAACTCTCTTTTCCCCTTCTAAAAGTGTCGGCCATAAGTAACAATAAATCCGTTTTTCTTTTTTTGGGTGCTAGCCCACCGTTGAGACGCATTTGGCTTAGCTAACGACGGAAAAGCTTGGCTTTCACCATGATGTAATGGGTTAAAAGTCCAAGAATTGTAATCGATTTTGAGTGGAGGGATTTGGGTAACAGCCCGCCACGAAAATCGTGTGCAGTACTCAATGTACCCTTCTAGTTCCTTTTTGAGGCTTTTATCAAAGCTTGGAAGGATTTCCTCTTTCTTTTATGTTCCTTCCATTTTGCCTTCAATTCTCTCTTTACAACCTATAGGGATTAAAATAATACGTATTACATGTGTCATTGTTAAGTTGCATTATTCAATAATTATAGATAAAAAAAAGCAAACGGTTTGGTAACCTCCATGAATGGGAGGATGCGACCGAAATGTATAACATGCTGTATCTATAAGCAATATAGTCTAATACTTCGAACCCAGCTCCAAAACTTAACCAAAAAAAACCAATGATCAAAAACACACACACACAAAATAAAAACAAAGACAATATTTCATACTTAAATTGTCAATGAAAGTTATCTCGCCTTAACAAGCCCTTCCAAATTAAGGTTCTCCTTTTGAGCCGCCACTTTAACGAGGACCATGACTTCACTTATGCAATCTTGTGGAACATCTTTCGAATCTTTTCGCAATTAGGACATCAGGGAGCTTAGGAATAGAAACAGATATACTTAATCTCATGTCATTACAAATACAACTCTCAGTTTCAAAGTTGTCAGTTTGACTTTTCGAACTGTATGTACAATTGGACATCCTTACTTTTTTTTTTTTTTTTTTTCAAGTCCTTTCTAAATGTTTGACGACGTTCCTACGAATTATGATTCCCCTGTTCATCATAACAAATTAAACTCCATGCCACAGGCGTCTTCTGCGCCGTCCTTTTTTTTTTTTTTTAATAAAGAACAACGACACAAACAAACAAACAAACAAATTAACAAACAAGCCAAACCAACGAGGTCAAAACAAAAGTAAACTTATTCGCACGCCTTCTCATTACTGTAGTATGAAATTGATAATTATGGATTGGAAAAGTATGTACAAAAAACAACTCAAATAAAGAAGAGCTAGTTAAAATGATAAACATTACAGCACTAAAAATCACAAACCTTATATGTACCATCCCCTAAACCGACACAAGGTGCATCAGTAACTAAAGTGTCCAAAAGCGATGAGTAATAGGATAAAAAGCCACTTCTCGCCTCCACTGCACATTCGTAAGATAACTGAAAGAAAGTAAAGAAACTTGTAAATGAATCTTGTGAAGACATAGAAAGAGATCTTGTAGATCTGGAAAATTTCAGTTGGTAAGCGCGTTATAAAAATGAGCATGTATTTCATATAAATTAAAAAAATAGAGAAGTAGAAAAACAAGGAGAAGAAGAAAAAGTAATGAAGAAATATAAAGAAATAGGTAGATAAAAAAAATATCTGTTGAGTTTTCATCCCTCAGGTTAAACCTTCCCTATAACGTATACAATATTACTGTTCGTACATTGATCGCGTACAAGATGACGGGCAACGAATTTATCTTCACAGGCTATGTGCAATATAAATCTTTAGCCATGGAATCTGATATCGTACAGTATAAATGAAAAAAATTATATTTTAACTCCACGACATTTTACAGAGCAAACAAATCACCTCAAATATATAACATGCGAGCCTGTACGCCTTTAATTGTTCTTCTTCGGACAGGTGTTGAGATCGGCCTCTCTTTAGCTTTTTTTCAATCAACTCTACTGCGTCAACGCGTCTTCCATCTCTGAGGTCGTTCTTGTATTCTGCCTGAAGCTCAGACTGCCTGTTTAGGCTCAACGTGCTTTCAGTTCTTCTTTGGTTCATGTTGACTATTCTCTCTCCCAAAGTAGCAAGCCTTGTTGAAAATAAGAGTTGCCGGTTAAATTGAGTCAATCGATTGTCGTACCTTCTAATTAACATTTTGATGTTAAGGTCATATAAGTTTCTTTCAAGAAAAGCTACTCTAGGAATACGATTCAGGGAAACCCACGAACAAAGAGACAAGGAAATGTTTACTCTCTGATTAACAAAAAAATTACCCTTTAATTCAGTTTGAACTAGCTTTCGTTTTAGTGGATAATTGTGCCTTTTTGGGGAAAGTTTTGAGGTGCGGAGGAAGCCTTTTGAGCATGTTAAGCTTGGTCACACTTTCCTAGGAAAAATATGAGACAATTTCTGAAAAACCTTTTAGAGCACCTATCTTGAGTAGATAGCGCCCTGAATATTGTGTGTGACCAAATTTTTTAAATTAATTTTCAAAGAAAATTTGAGAAAATGTTATTGCAATTTACGCTACATCTTCATGTTCACCAACCACTGTTGTCCGGTGATGGAATATTATTTAAAGTAGTCAACGTAAAAGAATTTCCATTAACCTTCATGATACTTTCAGCTTGAAATATTGATATGCAAGCTGCACATGTTCTGAAAGACACAACTATTGATTCTATCGAAGCCTGGATGTTTTGAGGTCTCTTTCGATAGGAGCTTTAGGCCTCACTCGAAGTTCAACATTGTCATAATCTTAAATCTGGTACTTCGCTTGCCGGGCGATTGACTTCACTCCTAACCTGTAACTTTTGGTTCATTCGGTATCATTATCATATCATCACTTTGGTTATTGTTATTGCCTATTATAATAAATATTCTATTTTCATCATCAATATCAGTATTGTTATATTCAATATTCCTTTTTTCTCTCAGTTAAAAAAAACACAAAGGTATATAGTTATATTTCTCTACTTGCTGTGCAAGTTCCTGTTTCTGTTCCCCAACATTTGCAAGGAGTTCATCATTTCATTCCATTAGTAAGGGTCTGCCAAACATGTTTGTATTCGCATGTGCGTATCCAAGTAATTTACTTTTTATCTACACATGTAACTGATTAATTTAAATGTGCTAATAATGCTCAAAAAATACAAATATGCCAAGTGAGGCATAAAACGTTGTAAAGAACAATACGTGATACTTTGTTTTACACCTTCCATTTTGCGGGCCTCGGGTTTTTAACTCAGCGATCGCCACCTTTTTCTAATAATTTTTGAGGATGGATGAAAGAAGTTTGAGATTTGATTTAGTGGAGATCAACATGTGCACATGAGACAACAAAACCTTGAAAGTTGGTCTTGAGATGTTGATGTCTTACTCACCGCCAGAAATCAAGGACATTTCGAGCCCGCTAACAATTATCAGCGGTATATCGTATTACACTCCGGAACAATAGAATATCAAGAGAATTCAATACGGCGGCGATCACGGCTCGATCTGCAAAGAAGCGTGTTTCGTACCATGACTTACACAATTTGAGCACTACAGATCTTCTATTTGATGAAAAGAAAAAGAAAAGAAGACCTGCAAGTAAATATTTTGAATTTTTCGAGGCAGAGCGATGACTTGATGTCAGAATTTTGATTTGCTTTTATTAAAGTTTGGCACCAAGACTACTAAATTTGCATTTAACCCCTTGCATATTTTTATTCCGAAAAGGACCTAAGAACTAATTTATTTCCCAGCAAGAACATAAACAAATATGGCCGATGATTCACAGATCAGCGTTGCTCGTGTTTAACCATTTCAGTCATAGTTTTCAACATGGCGTCTCGTGCCTTACTCAACATGGAAAATAAGGGATATTCTGGCGCGTTGGGAAGTTTTTTGATGAGAGGAAATGACAATTTTACAGGATATTTTGACGCTTCGAACTCAGTAGCAGTCAATTCGATCGAGAGCAGTGGACTTCATTGATGCACTTTCCTGTAATAGGCGAGTGTTTGGGATGGAGAACGACGGATTTTGAAGAACTATATGGCGACTTAGATCAATGAACAATGACAAAAGAACTGGCTCGGGAAGTAAGTGGTTTTTATTTATCAAGACACTGTGAGGGTTGATGGATAGCAGAATCAGTACTGAATATGTCTCGATCGAGAGCAGACGGGATCATGAGCTCGTGATTGTTATATTTTAGAAATTATACAAATTTCCATACAGTTTCTTATATTATTTGGACGCCATTATGGACGAAATGCGCAAGCGCGGCCGCCATCTTGTCCAATATTTCTGCCAATGTTCTATGAATCACGAAGTTTAATTTGGAGACGATCGTGAGATATCTGTTATGATAAAAGGACATAATTTAGAATTTGATCATATTTTACTTCAACTTCAAAGTAAAACAGCGTTAAGTTTGACTTGGCCCCCAAGCTTCAAATCATTTCAAATAACATCGTCTTTTTTCTCTTTGTGGTCACATAGGACACAAGACTTTAAAAAATGTTCCAGCTTCAGGATTGCGTTTGTCTTACTACAGCCTTCGGCGAACCCGTGTTTGGGATGTTTATGTGGATTTTCCAAGATATGACTCAAAACCATTTTGGCTTTTTTAGCTCTCCAAGTCTGTTGTACATGGTAAGTAGGCATGTGTTAAAACAACGGTTAAAGTCTCGCCTCAATCATCTCGGATTTTGGCTTATTTTTTTTTTCTGAGTTCTGGTGGAAATTTTTCTAATTGCCCATTTTGTTCTCACTTTATTTTAGGGATCTGCATGGCTGTTTCAGACCGCTGATGTACTGATGTATGCGAACGACACAGTGAGTTTTCATGGCAGCTCTAATTCTGCGCAAGTAATTACTGTCTTGAATTCTCGTCTGGCAAGCTGGTCATCTAACAATGAGCTGTATGTTCATCCAAAGAACATTTGGAACTGCAAAGAAACTCAATTGAAGTGATCCTGACCCTAGCAACAACGATGTTCTACTTGGTGATAAAGAGCTGGAGCAGAAATCTTCATACAAATATCTTGGAGTGTACTTGAACGAACATTTGCCTTTTAAAGAACATTCTTCAAAGCTATTTCACAAAGTATCCAGCCAGTAAGGCTTATTATCTAGGATTAGAGATAGCCTTTCTATTCAGACTACCGAGAGGATATTTAAATCAATGATACCACCTAAATTAGATTATTGTGATTTTATATGGAATAATTTAGCACCAACAGATGGGTTGGAAAACCCTCTATTCACGATACATGATACATAGATTAACGTATGTTTTCAGAAATTTTTAAGAACTGCTATAGTATCTCTAGTCATTCTCAGGCTACCCGTAGAAATGGCACATTGGGCAGAATGCCCATTGTTCTCGCGACATTTACTTGCAGTGGCGAAAATGTTATAGATCTGTAATATAAGCGCCGAAGCGTAAACAGGGAGGCTCTCATTGGTCGGAGATCACGCGCACTTTCCTCCGAAGGGAATACTGCCTTGGCTCATTAACTTGTCAAGGCGGAGCTAAGAAACAGAGGCCTCGAAACTTATTGTTTCATCTATTGTTTCTAATATCACACTTAAAGCGCGCGTATTTCAAGCTGGCTATGCGTTGTATTTTTAAATTCATCTACTTTAGATTTTTTCAAAAGCCATAACAATTTCATCTCTTGCTACAACCTAAACAAAATACATTTCGCTTCATGTCAAGCCTACGACAGTTTGATAAACAGCGGGTGTTTATTATTTATCGCTTAGGATTCGATTGTCTCATCGAAAAATTACTTACATCATAAATGAAGGACAATATAAAGTCTTTGAATCGCTCTAACGCAAGTTTTTCCGAATCGACGAAAGGAAAAAAACCTACTAAGTAGAGCGCTATTTTAGGATTACAGTTTCCTTCGAGCTTTTATGATAATTCTATCCCTGGACTGGAACTGATCATCAGCATACTTTTTTTGATGCCTAAACACTTGTTCCCAAGCCGAACATTATTTAGCGGTCTTTATTCCCATTCCACGCAATAGCTATCTCATCTAACTGCATCCGATTGTTGGACGATCGGGGTTCAGTGAGCTCTAAAGAGAGTTCCCGGTCGCATTCAAATTGCCGAGAGATCGGGAGATTCAGTGAGCTCTGAAAAGAGCTCCCGATCACATACAGATTGCTGGTCAACGCGCGCCATCATGACTTAACTTAAATGAAGGTTTGACAGCTGATACACATAGCAGTTTTAAAATTTGCGGCAGCTGTGAATAATTTTACAAGCAAATGAGTTTCAACAATGGGCATTGTTTAGTTTGACAGGTGTATTGTTATTCATGGCTAGGCTAAAGACAATGGCTTGCTCACCTAAAAAGCGCCATTTTTGAACGCAATTTCGACTACAATTTTTCAAACTGAAATGGATAAAGATTCCCATCGGCCAATTTTCAAAGTTAAAACGGATTCTGTGAGATTAAAGATTAATCTTTTATTTGCCGCACGTTGATTGTTCAAGGGTATTAAGGGTTTTCATAATCGGAAAATGACTTCCATACTAAAAATACCCGAATTTGGTGTATTTTCAAGTTCAAAAGGATGATACTTCTACTTTGTAAAAATCGTTAATTTTAGGTGCAAATTGTAGAAACATCTTTAATCTTCAAAAAGCCGAGCGTTGATTTAGAAGCAAACACTTTCAAATATCAGAAAAGTGAGTTTTACGAAGCCTCATTGGCCAAGTTTGGTCCATTCTTCTCTAATTTAGGGCTCCAGGTCGCCTTCAAATTTGGTTATGAATAATTCATGATGTCCACCCATTCTGCCCCATGATAGATACTATAATTTCTTTGGTTAGCATAGAAGTGGCAAAAAAGGGTTGGTTTGTATGCTGGGGCCAAAGCATTCAATGATTTGTCACTGGAATTAAAATCAAGTCATTATTAATATTTAAATCAAAAATAGGAGAATTTTTTTAATGATTTTTAGTCATCATATGTACATATCTAGATTTTCTTATAATTATCTTAAAATACGATTGATATTTTAGTTTTATTTATTTTATTCACTTCAGT